CTCTGAGTTTTTGGTGTTGGGGATGAAATGGGATTCTCAATGCCCCCCAAGCCAGCCAAGGACTCAGAAAACTCATTCCTCCCCTAGGTTCTGCTTACCAGAGCCAGGCATGGGACCCCCAACTCCTCCATCCCCAGCACCATGGCCACAGTGGGCCCTGAGGACTTACTTTGATGGATCTTGAGGACCGTATAGGCCATCATGGTGAGTACATGTTCACCCTCAAGGATGTAGATATCCCACATCCTAAGTGCCAGGGGGAACGGCACCTGGGGGGGAGAGCAAGCATTGGGGGACCATGCCAATCAGGGCCTCAGCAGGGCCCACAGGGGGTGGGTGTGTGGTGTCATAGGGCATCCTAGCTGTGGCCTAGACACCCAGAGAGAGAGCGCCAAGGACTATCTAGGACCCTGGGGCCACCCAGACTGCTCTGCACACTTTGTAAGCCACACTGGAGATGCCAGACTCCCAGGGAGCCGGGGGATGGATCAGCCCTTGGGCTGCGCTGACACTAGCCTGTGCCAACGTGGGTCTATGTATCTCCTGCCTCTCACTGTAGGGCTCTGGGCCTTGCCAGGCTCTCAGGATGGGTCCTGGTGGGGCCTGTCCCCTCCTTGCTGGCCCTGAGGCTCAGCCTCAGCTTGGACCACCCTCAGCAGGACAGGGCCTGCCTGGTCTGCACAGCAGGCTCCCTCCTGTGTCTGCTGGGGCTGGGGGAGCTCAGCCCTGCTCAGAGTCACAGGCCTCCAGGATAACGGAGTCAGGCACTGGCTCAGGAGCTTCCCTGGGAAGGGGTCCCTGGGGCACTTACCCCACCCAGGAAGCACTGGATGTACCAGTGGGTGGTGTAGTCCTCAAGGTACACACCCTCCTTCTCCTAAGAAGAGGCAGAGGGGGCTCAGGGCCCAGGGACCAGGCCAGACTCCCTCTAATCTGAGCCCTGTGGCAGAGCCCCTGGGTGCAGGAAGCCCAGCAGCAGGTGCATTCCACCCTCCCAGCCATGCAGGTTCCTGAAGGGACACAGGTCCCTCATTCCACTCTGCTCTGGGGACAGTGTCTCCCTTCAATCTACACAAACTCTGGGGGACCAAGTGGTGGAAAACAAACCAACACCCAAGCTTCCTTGGACCCCAGAGTCAAGGAAAGTCTTGGTGAGTACATAGCCTCCCCTGGCCCAGGAAGCAGTCAGGACCCCTTTCTGTCCTCCCCTCCCTGAGCACAGAGCCCCTGAGAGGAGAAAGGAGATGCTTTACTTACCAGGTGTTTCTCCAGGGAGGGGAGCACGCGATGCATGATATCTCCCAGGTGGTGCTGGAATCGCTCCAGTTTTGGGCAGTCTGGTGTGTAGAAATCTGTGTAATAGCAACCCCCCAGCCCTCACTTCAGAGTGTCTTCCCAGGAAGGCTGGAAAGCCAAAGGCTTGGGGCGGGGTCTTTCTGAACACGGAGGGTCAGGGGAGGCTCTAACAGGCAGGGGAGCCTCAGGGGAAGGGAGGTACAGCTGACAGCCCAGGGCAGGCTGCTTAAGGTGACCTCTGGGCTGACTGCAGTCACACTGGGTGCCTCAGGGCCATCTGGATACTCGGAGTGAGGAGGGGATCACCCTACAGTGGATGCTCCTTCTACAAGTTCCCGGGGTGTGGCTCAGTGGGTGGGAATCTGGATAGACATGTGAAGCAGTAACACCAGTAGAGACCTAAGGGTCATTTGTCAAAGACAAGGCACAGGACCTTTGGGTGATGGGAAGTGAGGCATATGGCTTGGTACTGGGCCCTCTGCTGGCCCTGGCTTCTAAGGAACCATCCTGAGGGAGACCGCCCCATGCACGCAGCAGCCAGTGAGGGACAATGTCCCAGTCACTTGTCTGCATGCCCACCCGTGTACTTGCACGGACCACGCCTACCACACCCATCACCCACCATGCATCGCGTGCTGGCTGTCCTCCATGAGCTGGACCAGGGCCCAAAAAGCATCCTCTTCACTCAGCCACATCAGCAGCAGGGCTGCCACGTGGCTTAGGCCCTGGCTGTAGCCCAAGTCCTATAGGAGCACAAAGCACATTGGAGGGACCTCCCCGGCTGAGATGATCTCACGTGGCATGGGTGACCTCTCCTGGGAGGGCTAAGGGTTACCACCAGGCCCCACTGCTGCCCCTTGGGTGTCAGGATCTCACAGACTGGAGCACATGCTGGCTCTCAACATTCCTGGAGAATCCTGCAGGATCTGAGCACAGGCTGTGCAGGGTTAAGAACAGGTATGAGTCCCACCCCAGATGTCAGAAAGGGGAAGACTGTTGTGGGAGTGCAGACTGCACACCCGTGACGGCCACTGGAGCTCTCTGCTGCACAGGTGCCCTGCCGGGCCCCACTGCAGATGTGAGGAAGAAGCACCATAGTAAGGCCTGCCTGGGCCAGAACAGAGCCCAGCCCAGGAGAAGGCTTCCGTTCTGCCCCCAGAATTGAGGTTGGGGCCAAGGAGGCCATGAGCCTGAACTCTACCCCTCTGCCTCTGCCTTGTGGATTAGAGAGGCCCCCTCAACACTGGCTGAGATCTCTGTGACCAGAGTACCCTGCATGGACAGCTCTGGATATGAACATGGAACGTTATCCCAGAGTACTCATGGGGTTGTACATCGAATATGCCAGGAGCACCTCAAATAAGGAGCGTTGTCTGGAAGAGAGGACAGAGGCTCTCAGTGTGGATCTGCCTAATAGAGCCTGACAGCCACACGCAGGGCCCATGACACTCTGCTCATGAGCAGTGATGTCATCAGGGCACCTGCGTGTGCTCCATCATGTGGGTGAGCGCTGCCTGCAGGGACACACACACCTCTCAGGGTGCAGTCATGTGCAGTTTCGTTTCCCCAGGTGGGTGTTCATTGCACAGGTGAGTGTCCCACTGTGCGAGGTGCAGTCCCGTGGGTCTAAGCCGTGGAGAGTCAGCCTCCCATGCACGTTCAGCCTGGTAGGGAGCAGCTCCTGTCACCTATGTGTTCCCCACGGGCCCTCAGTGGCCAACTCCCCACCTCCCCCAGCCCGTGGTCACCACTGCCCTGTTGTGTGTCCCAGGGTTTGGCCTCTTGCAGATGTCCTGTGAGTGGATCATAGCATCTGTAGCCTTTGAGGGATGCTTCCTCTCTTAGCAGGATGCACCTGAGATGCATCCAGGTCAGCCCAGAGCCGAGCCTCGTCCTGCCTCTCACTGAATCCTGTTCTAGGATTCAGCTGTGACACGGTTGCTTATCCATTTCCCCACTGGGCATCATGCAGGCTACTCCTGTGTCCAGTGACTGTGAACACAACCGTGAATCTTGCATGAGGGTTTTCTGTGCACTCAGCTGTTCTAGTGGTTGTGTACGTGTACCTGTGTGCTGGGGGTCTGTGTGGAAGGTTTGTGTCTCTCATTGTGAGAAACGGCCCTGGGTGCTGCCGAGGGCCTGGGCCACTGTGCTCTGTTCCTGCAATGAACCAGAGTGGTGTGCACCTCACATTGTCCCGAGCACCCGGCATCCTCAGTGATTTTAGTTCCCCCGATCTCACAGCTGTGTGCTGGTGCCCCGTTGTGGTTTAGGTGCTAAGCGTGTGTTCATGCATTGAGAATTGTGTGTGCTGTCGTGAAGGGGCCTTCCTGAGCCATGGCCCATGTCAGGGCAGGAAACCTTCATTTGCTTTCTTGTTATTGAGAATTATGAACTTCATTTTCTGTATTTTGCAAATACTGTCTCCCCTTGTGTTTCTTTTCATTTCATTCCCACCAAAGTGTCTTTGGGAAAGCAAACTGTTCAGTATAAATAGAAGGCCATGGATCCATTTTTTTCTGTCCTAGAGCAATTATGCTTTAGGTTTGAGCCCTAGTCTCTCCTAGGTCCCCATGTGTCCCAGGACCCTTGCACCTCCCTCCCCCAGGCCCCTCTAGCCCAGAGGCCTCACTTGGCTCCATATCTCTCTCAGAACATCATGTGACTTCTGAACGTGCATGCCACCTCTTCATCGATCTGTTGGACCTGATCTGAGCATAACCTGGCCGGTTCCTTCATCTCCTGCAGGACAGGGCTGAGGGGGAGGGGCCGGCCTCAGGACCAGCCAACCCCCACTGCCACACAAGCACCCCAAAGCCACATCAGCTCTTCTGGTTGGCAGGCAGAGCTCCCCCTTGGGGAAGCTGGTTCCCCTGATCCAGGGAGGGTCATGGGTTCCCCATTCACCTTAGTGCCCACGCCACCCCCAGTTCCCAGCAGAGGGGGCCACTGAGGACCTGCTACAGTCAGCCTGAGGCCAGGGGCTCTGCCAATGTCCTTCTGCACTACTTCTGCCTCCCGCAGCAGGAGAGACCAAATCAGGCCTCCGAGCCTCCTCACTGGCCTCTCAGGCCCCACAGGACAGGAGTCAGCCTCACCCTGACCAGCCTTCAGGATGCCCCCTGCAGGAGAGCCCCATCACCACCAAGAAATTGGATGCCCTTCTTGGACTTGGGGCTGCCCCCAGGGGCAGCCCCCACTTGAAGACTTGGGGGAGGGCAGGGCTGGCGGCTCAGTTGCTCCTTGCTCCCTGACGTCAGCCAGGGAGGTGACAGTCAGCCCTGGGCCAGCCCTCTGATAGATCAGCCCTCATTCCCAGAAGCAGTTGAGAGCTGACTGACCGATGGAACCAGCAGGCCTGGTGGGGGCTGGGTGAGCTGAGGCCAGGCCAGGCATGAGAAGGCCCAGGTGAGGGCAGGGCCCGGCGAGCATAAGAAACACACATGCAGGGTCAGGTGTGGGGAGGGCTGTTTGGGACAGGGCCAGCTGAGGGCCCTAGCACACAGGACTTCCACCTCATTCCAGGCTGTCTCTATCCATCCAGGACCCAGCACAATGGCATTGGGCAGTCCAGGGCCTAGAGGCAAGGCGGGACCATAGGGATGAGGGCTGTGGTCCTGACCAGATCCTTGTGTCCAGACCCATTTGTGTGTTGGGAGACGTGGAGGAGGACTCTGGGGAGACATGTGTGAGGTAGAGGGGAGGGCCGGGTGGGGGCCCCAAGCAAATGACCACTCCTCCTTGCCATTACTTGTCCACCACGCGGGAGCCTTGGGCTCCTCATCATTCCCGAATGGGTCGGCTGCCTCGGGTTGCACGCAGAGCCATACCTCGAATTTGCTAGGGTTCTGGGCCTTCCTGGTATCCACAGAGAGCAGCATGGCCCACACCTTGCCGCTCACCTGGGCGGGGATGCCTTTCTCAATTCTCCGGTGGAACTACTACTAAAATGGCCATCAACTCCACAGCGAATGTGTGAGAAACACACGTTTTTCAATTTATTGGTATTTATTTGCATTCTACTGTTTGCTAGGAAGTCTGCAGGGCCGGGAGACTAAAGAGAAACCGTTCATGCCTGTGACCTTCAGGTGATGAGGTGAGGATGGCTGCAGTGAGGACTGGGAAGAAACTGAAAGGCAGGACATTGCCATGGCCATTTGGCTTTAGGGGGTGCAGGGAGGCCTCATGGCCCCCGTGTCTGGGGAGAAGTTTCTCCAGGGGTTGGTGAGTGCTGCATCTAGGTAGGGCAGGACAGCAGAGGGGGACACTTGGGTGGGTTCCTGGGCACAGAAGGGGCCCCTTGCATTGAGGAAGTGGAACAGAGAGTGATGTGGTGCATGTGTGGGTGATGGGGACGCTGGACTCTGTGGTACCAGGCAGGCTGCAGATGAGAGTTGGGTTGTCACTGCCCTGGCCACAATGGGGTGAGCAGGAGAGGCCTGTCCTGGGGCCTGACCTAGGGCAGGGAGGGGCTGGAGACAGGTGCATCTTTTGTTCCTCCTTATCCACCTCCAGGGTCCTGACAGAGGAGGAGATGGCCAACAGGTGGGATCGTCACCTGACAGTAGGGGACAGAAGCCACATTGCAGAGGTGAGTTCATCCCTCCCCCTGGGCATCCTCCATGCTGGGCCAGGTTGGCAGGGGCTGTGCAGCCAGCTGCCTTGTCACCCAGAGCAGGATTCATCCCGGGTGCCTCCTGAACCCATCAGCCTGGGGCCATTGTCTCGGCCTCCCCCATGCACACTGAACTGAGGGCAACAGGAGTTCTTGAAGGAGTGTAGGTTCCTGCCTTGCCATGGGGCTATGCCCACTGCAAGCCCACCTCCACTGCACCAAAGCAGCCCAGAAAGGCGGGGTGGGAAAATGGGGGGACACTTGGTGCCATCTCAGTGTAGCCTGCGTGCTATGAGGTGACAGTGACAAGGACTGGGTGCTTCAGGCATGGAGCTTCCAGTCCCGGGGAGGCCTGAAGCACACCCACCTTGGGCACACATGTGTGATGCACAGAGAAATACATGTGCACCCCACAGTAGAAGACAGCTCCCCCTCCCTGGAGTAGGCAGCGAGGAAGCAGCAGGAAGGCAGCCTAAGCTGGAACCCTTGAGGCTGGGCCAACCCTGCTGGGGTCCCTGGGCTCTGCAGAGCCCGCGGTGACCACGAGCAGCCCAGGGGCTGGAGGGACTGAGCTGCCACTGGCAGTGACCCCTGCATCCCTCAGGGGTGGGTGTCCCGGTGATCAGCACCCTGGGGAGCTGCGGGCCTGTGGCTGCTTCTGCCGGACGTGTGCTGTCCCTCTCCTTATGGTCAGCAGCAGCCCGGTGTTACCAGCATGCAGCTCAGGGGCTGCTGCCCAGGAGCTCTCAGTGCTCTGTGCCTGAAGCCCTGGTCCGTGTCCAGGACAGGGCCCTGGCTCCTGGTCTGGACAGTCTGGACCACGCTGGCTTGAGGTTCTATGCAGGTGGTGCTCAGTGGGCTGCTCCCCTCCCCCCATCCCAGGAGGACTCCGGTGTCCACCTCCTACAACTCCTGGGAAGATGGAGTGGAACAGAGCAGGAAGGGACAGCAGATGTTGGCAGTGCTGTGGTGGGGCCTGTGGTAGGACAGAAGGCTGCAGCCCTGGAACTCCCAGTTCAGGTCATTGCAGGGGCAGCCCCCAAGTGTGGGTACCTCAGGAAGATAAACAGGCAATGATGGGGCTCCCTGTGCCACCTTGTGTTCAAATAAAGAGGACTTCACAGTGGTGCTATAATAAAATGGCAGAGGAAGAAAGGAGGGGTGGGAGGTGCAGGTTGCCTGGGACTTGGGACCGTTACGGCAGGTGGCAGAGGGCCCTGGCACCCCTGGTTCTGGGGCAGTTCTGCCAGAGCCCTGCCCTCTTCACCTGGGCCCTGGGGAGAACACAGGCCCCACTTCTGGTGACCTTTAATGAAGCCAGGGCTGAGGACCCTGACCCCTGCCACAGCAGAGCCACTTGGGATTGGCTGGCAGGATTCTGTGACATCACAGTCACTGAGAACTGTGCACTCTGGGTTGTCGGCAACCAGTGGCCAGTAGTGCTTCTACTGCCCAACTGACCAGGTGTTGGTAGCGTAGGCAGGAGGCACATTTGCTAGAATCCAGTGGATTCTCGACAGAGGTGAGTGGGACTTGCTCTACACATGAGCTGTGATGTGGGGAAGGTCACACCAGGTGGGTGGCACTGGTCTCCCACGCCGGGTTCTGTGAACGATGTGGCTGAGCTCTCAGTGGGCCCCTGTGTGCAGAGCATGTATACATTTGTCTCATTTCTCTTGCGGTGCTGGTCACCAGTGCCAAATGTGCCTCGTTGTGAGTCTGTGTCTGAGCACGGGGTCAAGACTAGGTATCGGGTCAGCTGGTACCAGGTGGGGCAATGAGGGTGGATCTAAGAGTTCCAGAGATGTGGGAGCCAAGAGCAGGTCAGGGAGACCCTTAGACTTGGGCTCCCTGGAGGACACGTGGATGCCAGGCAGGGAGAGGCGCATCATACCTGACGGAGGGGAGGTGAATCAGGGGGGTGTCCTTCCCCATCTGTCCCTAGTCCCTGTGCTCTGGACAAGTCATCCTCCTGGGACCCGACCACCAGGTGCCTGTCCGCCTGTCTGTGTGGCTGTCCCCCCCTACGATGGGGTCAGACCTCAGGGCAGCAGTTCCCGTGGGCTCCCCGTGCTGGCTCACAAGTGTGTGTGTCTTACAGATTGGATTTGGACGCCCTGAGGTCTGGCAGCGCCCAGGAGTGAGCAGCAATCATCATGAAATATGAGAAGGTACTGTAGGCCAGGGTGCTGGGAGAGGAGGTGGGGCCCTGCCTCAAGTACTGTGCTGTGAGAGCCAGACCCGGCCTCCCTGGGGACACAGTGGGGAAGGTGGCTCAGCTCCCCCAGTGCTCCCCCAGTCCCCAGTGACTGAGACCCAAGCTTCTCACCTGGGCCCCCTCTCCCCTGCAGGAACCCCGTAAAGGGGCCCAGTTTCAGCTGGAAGAAGAGGATGACGAGAGTGGAGCCCTCATCCCAGATTTGGATTCCTGCGGTGAGTTTTCTGCACCCTGATCCACCCAGGAGAGGGACCAGGGTCAGAAACCCCACCATTAGGTAGCACATCTGTCCCCAGGCCCCCTCCTTGATCCAAGCTGTGGTCATAGGCAGGCACTGGTCAGCGCTTGGCCAGAGCCGAGTGACCCTGTGACTCAGAGCTGCAGGCAGGGACAGAGTGGGACGTGGGGCAAGCAGGGGCACTCTTACTCTGAGGCCTCTGTTCATGTTAAGTTGAGGGGTGGCCTGAGGGTCCTGCTGTGCTCCCAGGGGACACAACCGGGTCACCAGCATTCCAGAGCTGTGGCCACAGGTTCAGGAAAGCACCCTAGAAGGTGGGCAGTTGTCCAGGAGGTACCTGGGTCTCAGGGGCCAAGCTAAAGGCTTTTTAAGGCCTGGCCTGAGGGACAGCCAGGGGTGTGACCTCAGGGCTCCGAACCTGCCTGCAGGCTTCCCCAGTACAGACTGGGGCAGAGGGGTTTGCAGCAGAGGGCCCTGCCCCCGGGTCTGTGCTGTGAGGAGTGGGGCCTGGGGGCACGAGTCAGACTTGGAGGCTGTTCCCACAGATGTCAGAGAGAGCGGCCCCATGGCTGGAGGGTGGGCTCCGGTGACCTAGAGGGATGGAGCCGTCTCGGGCCGTCTCTGGCGTGACTCAGCAGCCCACCTTAGTATGGGATAGGGGGTTCTGGCTCCATGTTGTGTCAGAACCTGGAGAAAAAGCAGGAGCCAAGTGGTGGAGAGATGGCCACGATCCGGGCTGACAGCGGAGGCTGAGGGGTTAGCAGGTACCTCAGGCAGCCAGTAACCGGGGGGGAGGGTGTATGGGGGGACCCTGGGGGTGTGGTGGTCCCAGGTGCCTCGAGCCCAGCTGCACACTCACAGCACTGGCAGTTCCTGCCTGGCACTGGGCTCCCTGTGCTCATGGTCACAGACCCTGCTGGGTGTCTGCCTGCAGCATGGCTGCTGCCTCCCTGCCCTTCTCTGTGCCCTGGGCTGCACCTCAGCAGGGTGAGGAGGACACAGGTCCTGTCCACACCTTGCTGAGGAAGTGGACCATGCGTGGTTCAGTGCCCATTCTCATGGTGTTGTCTCTCTGCCTTTCAGTAAGCAGAAGCCGCCCAGGCATGGATGGCTGGCAGTGCAATGGGTAAGCTGACATTGGCCATGGACTCTTCATCTAGGAGGCAGAACTAGCAGGCCTGTGTGTATGGGCAGTGGTTAGAGGAGTGCTATATGGTCCTCCAGGGACAGCAGTCCCCAGGAGATCTGTTGAGGCCCACATGCCCCAGTGCAGGCCTGCAGCTCTGGGGTCCCTGCCTGTGGGCCACTGTGACCCACTTGCCTGGATGAGATGGGACTGGCTTGAGGATGCTTGTCCTGTGGACAGAGCTCAAGCCCCTAGGCTCCCCTAGTTGGAAGGTCTGGGTGCCGTGGTCTGCCCCTTTGCTGGCTCCTCCCAGCTGAATTGTCCACAGCCTCCTGAGCTGCACCCATGGCCTCTCTCAGAGGACACTGCTGGGCTCACGCCATCCTGTCTCCATTCCCAGCGTAAACATCAGGAGGGCCGCCGACTGCAAAAATGGAACAAGGTTCTGTGAAATTTCACCAAATACCGCAGCAGCAAGAAGGTGCTGTGGACCTGAGGGCCCCTGGGGACCACTGGGGGCAGAGTTGGGATGGACAGTGCCCATTGCTGTGCCTCTCAGACACAACTGTCCAGCCCTGAAAGGATACGGGTCATCTCAGCCCCACGCCCATGCACCAAGGCACTGTCGCAGTAGAAGATCCAAAGTCTCCCCTGGGGCCACTCCCAGATGCAGGGCAGGCACAGTTCCCGGTGCCCTGTGGGGGCAGTGAGCGCATGACAGAGCCTGCATTGAGCCCTCGGCCCTCCTCTCACTGTTGGGTCAGGAGGCCCAGGTCCAGGCAGATCTGGGGACACAGCACAGAGCCCAGGGCTCCCCTTCCTGTTGTCTCACCCTGCGCTCCCCCCTACAGAGGGCCCTGGGTGGGTCTCACGAGAGCCTCCTCTCTTCTGTAGTTCCACTGGAGAATTGAGAAAGGCATCCCCGCCCAGGTGAGCGGCAAGATGTGGGCCATGCTGCTCTCTGTGGATACCAGGAAGGCCCAGAACCATGGCAAATTTGAGGTATGGCTCTGCGTGCAACCCGAGGCAGCCGACCCATTCGGGAATGATGAGGAGCCCAAGGCTCCCGCGTGGTGGACAAGTAATGGCAAGGAGGAGTGGTCATTTGCTTGGGGCCCCCACCCGGCCCTCCCCTCTACCTCACACATGTCTCCCCAGAGTCCTCCTCCATGTCTCCCCACATGCAAATGGGCCTGGACAAAAGGATTTGATCAGGGCCACAGCCCTCATCCCTGTGGTCCGGCCTTGCCTCTAGGCCCAGGACTGCCCAGTGCCATTTTGCTGGGTCCTGGATGGATAGAGACAGCCTGGAATGAGGTGGAAGTCCTGTGTGCTAGGGCCCTCAGCTGGCCCTGTCCCAAACAGCCCTCCCCACACCTGACCCTGCATGTGTGTTTCTTATGCTCGCCGGGCCCTGCCCTCACCTGGGCCTTCTCATGCCTGGCCTGGCCTCAGCTCACCCAGCCCCCACCAGGCCTGCTGGTTCCATCGGTCAGTCAGCTCTCAACTGCTTCTGGGAATGAGGGCTGATCTATCAGAGGGCTGGCCCAGGGCTGACTGTCACCTCCCTGGCTGACGTCAGGGAGCAAGGAGCAACTGAGCCGCCAGCCCTGCCCTCCCCCAAGTCTTCAAGTGGGGGCTGCCCCTGGGGGCAGCTCCAAGTCCAAGAAGGGCATCCAATTTCTTGGTGGTGATGGGGCTCTCCTGCAGGGGGCATCCTGAAGGCTGGTCAGGGTGAGGCTGACTCCTGTCCTGTGGGGCCTGAGAGGCCAGTGAGGAGGCTCGGAGGCCTGATTTGGTCTCTCCTGCTGCGGGAGGCAGAAGTAGTGCAGAAGGACATTGGCAGAGCCCCTGGCCTCAGGCTGACTGTAGCAGGTCCTCAGTGGCCCCCTCTGCTGGGAACTCGGGGTGGTGTGGGCACTAAGGTGAATGGGGAACCCATGACCCTCCCTGGATCAGGGGAACCAGCTTCCCCCAGGGGGAACTCTGCCTGCCAACCAGAAGAGCTGATGTGGCTTTGGGGTGCTTGTGTGGCAGTGGGGGTTGGCTGGTCCTGAGGCCGGCCCCTCCCCCTCGGCCCTGTCCTGCAGGAGATGAAGGAACCAGCCAGGTTATGCTCAGATCAGGTCCAACAGATCGATGAAGAGGTGGCATGCATGTTCAGAAGTCACGTGATGTTCTGAGAGAGATATGGAGCCAAGTGAGGCCTCGGTGCTAGAGGGGCCCTGGGGAGGGAGGTGCAAGGGTCCTGGGACACATGGGGACCTAGGAGAGACTAGGGCTCAAACCTAAAGCATAATTGCTCTAGGACAGAAAAAAATGGATCCATGGCCTTCTATTTATACTAAACAGTTTGCTTTCCCAAAGACACTTTGGTGGGAATGAAATGAAAAGAAACACAAGGGGAGACAGTATTTGCAAAATACAGAAAATGAAGTTCATAATTCTCAATAACAAGAAAGCAAATGAGGGTTTTCTGCCCTGACATGGGCCATGGCTCAGGAAGGCCCCTTCACGACAGCACACACAATTCTCAATGCATGAACACGCTTAGCACCTAAACCACAACGGGGCACCAGCACACAGCTGTGAGATCTGGGGAACTAAAATCACTGAGGACGCCGGGTGCTCAGGACAATGTGAGGTGCACACCACTCTGGTTCATTGCAGGAACAGAGCACAGTGGCCCAGGCCCTCGGCAGCACCCAGGGCCGTTTCTCACAATGAGAGACACAAACCTTCCACACGAACCCCCAACACACAGGCACATGTACACAACCACTAGAACAGCTGAGTGCACAGAAAACCCTCATGCAAGATTCACGGTTGTGTTCACAGTCACTGGACACAGGAGTAGCCTGCATGATGCCCGGTGGGGAAATGGATAAGCAACCGTGTCATAGCTGAATCCTAGAACAGGATTCAGTGAGAGGCAGGACGAGGCTTGGCTCTGGGCTGACCTGGATGCATCTCAGGTGCATCCTGCTAAGAGAGGATGCATCCCCCAAAGGCTACAGATGCTATGATCCACTCACAGGACATCTGCAAGAGGCCAAACCCTGGGACACACAACAGGGCAGTGGTGACCACGGGCTGGGGGAGGTGGGGAGTTTGGCCACTGAGGGCCCGTGGGGAACACATAGGTGACAGGAGCTGCTCCCTACCACGCTGAATGTGCATGGGAGGCTGACTCTCCACGGCTTAGACCCACGGGACTGCACCTCGCACAGTGGGACACTCACCTGTGCAATGAACACCCACCTGGGGAAACGAAACTGCACATGACTGCACCCTGGGAGGTGTGTGTGTCCCTGCAGGCAGCACTCACCCACGTGATGGAGCACACGCAGGTGCCCTGACGACATCACTGCTCATGAGCAGAGTGTCATGGGCCCTGCGTGTGGCTGTCAGGCTCTATTAGGCAGAACCACACTGAGAGCCTCTGTCCTCTCTCTTCCAGACAACGCTCCTTATTCGAGGTGCTCCTGGCATATTCGATGTACAACCCCATGAGTACTCTGGGATAACGTTCCATGTTCATATCCAGAGCTGTCCATGCAGGGTACTCTGGTCACAGAGATCTCAGCCAGTGTTGAGGGGGCCTCTCTAATCCACAAGGCAGAGGCAGAGGGGTAGAGTTCAGGCTCATGGCCTCCTTGGCCCCAACCTCAATTCTGGGGGCAGAACAGAAGCCTTCTCCTGGGCTGGGCTCTGTTCTGGCCCAGGCAGGCCTTACTATGGTGCTTCTTCCTCACGTCTGCAGTGGGGCCCGGCAGGGCACCTGTGCAGCAGAGAGCTCCAGAGGCCATCACGGGTGTGCAGTCTGCACTCCCACAACAGTCTTCCCCTTTCTGACATCTGGGGTGGGACTCATACCTGTTCTTAACCCTGCACAGCCTGTGCTCAGATCCTGCAGGATTCTCCAGGAATGTTGAGAGCCAGCATGTGCTCCAGTCTGTGAGATCCTGACACCCAAGGGGCAGCAGTGGGGCCTGGTGGTAACCCTTAGCCCTCCCAGGAGAGGTCACCCATGCCACGTGAGATCATCTCAGCCGGGGAGGTCCCTCCAATGTGCTTTGTGCTCCTATAGGACTTGGGCTACAGCCAGGGCCTAAGCCACGTGGCAGCCCTGCTGCTGATGTGGCTGAGTGAAGAGGATGCTTTTTGGGCCCTGGTCCAGCTCATGGAGGACAGCCAGCACGCGATGCATGGTGGGTGATGGGTGTGGTAGGCGTGGTCCGTGCAAGTACACGGATGGGCATGCAGACAAGTGACTGGGACATTGTCCCTCACTGGCTGCTGTGTGCATGGGGCGGTCTCCCTCAGGGTGGTTCCTTAGAAGCCAGGGCCAGCAGAGGGCCCAGTACCAAGCCATATGCCTCACTTCCCATCACCCAAAGGTCCTGTGCCTTGTCTTTGACAAATGACCCTTAGGTCTCTACTGGTGTTACTGCTTCACATGTCTATCCAGATTCCCACCCACTGAGCCACACCCTTGCAGAAGGAGCATCCATTCTAGGGTGACCCCTCCTCACCCTGAGTGTCCAGATGGCCCTGAGGCACCCAGTGTGACTGCAGTCAGCCCAGAGGTCACCTTAAGCAGCCTGCCCTGGGCTGTCAGCTGTACCTCCCTTCCCCTGAGGCTCCCCTGCCTGTTAGAGCCTCCCCTGACCCTCCGTGTTCAGAAAGACCCCGCCCCAAGCCTTTGGCTTTCCAGCCTTCCTGGGAAGACACTCTGAAGTGAGGGCTGGGGGGTTGCTATTACACAGATTTCTACACACCAGACTGCCCAAAACTGGAGCGATTCCAGCACCACCTGGGAGATATCATGCATCGCGTGCTCCCCTCCCTGGAGAAACACCTGGTAAGTAAAGCATCTCCTTTCTCCTCTCAGGGGCTCTGTGCTCAGGGAGGGGAGGACAGAAAGGGGTCCTGACTGCTTCCTGGGCCAGGGGAGGCTATGTACTCACCAAGACTTTCCTTGACTCTGGGGTCCAAGGAAGCTTGGGTGTTGGTTTGTTTTCCACCACTTGGTCCCCCAGAGTTTGTGTAGATTGAAGGGAGACACTGTCCCCAGAGCAGAGTGGAATGAGGGACCTGTGTCCCTTCAGGAACCTGCATGGCTGGGAGGGTGGAATGCACCTGCTGCTGGGCTTCCTGCACCCAGGGGCTCTGCCACAGGGCTCAGATTAGAGGGAGTCTGGCCTGGTCCCTGGGCCCTGAGCCCCCTCTGCCTCTTCTTAGGAGAAGGAGGGTGTGTACCTTGAGGACTACACCACCCACTGGTACATCCAGTGCTTCCTGGGTGGGGTAAGTGCCCCAGGGACCCCTTCCCAGGGAAGCTCCTGAGCCAGTGCCTGACTCCGTTATCCTGGAGGCCTGTGACTCTGAGCAGGGCTGAGCTCCCCCAGCCCCAGCAGACACAGGAGGGAGCCTGCTGTGCAGACCAGGCAGGCCCTGTCCTGCTGAGGGTGGTCCAAGCTGAGGCTGAGCCTCAGGGCCAGCAAGGAGGGGACAGGCCCCACCAGGACCCATCCTGAGAGCCTGGCAAGGCCCAGAGCCCTACAGTGAGAGGCAGGAGATACATAGACCCACGTTGGCACAGGCTAGTGTCAGCGCAGCCCAAGGGCTGATCCATCCCCCGGCTCCCTGGGAGTCTGGCATCTCCAGTGTGGCTTACAAAGTGTGCAGAGCAGTCTGGGTGGCCCCAGGGTCCTAGATAGTCCTTGGCGCTCTCTCTCTGGGTGTCTAGGCCACAGCTAGGATGCCCTATGACACCACACACCCACCCCCTGTGGGCCCTGCTGAGGCCCTGATTGGCGCGGTCCTCCAATGCCTGCTCTCCCCCAGGTGCCGTTCCCCCTGGCACTTAGGATGTGGGATATCTACATCCTTGAGGGTGAACATGTACTCACCATGATGGCCTATACGGTCCTCAAGATCCATCAAAGTAAGTCCTCAGGGCCCACTGTGGCCATGGTGCTGGGGATGGAGGAGTTGGGGGTCCCATGCCTGGCTCTGGTAAGCAGAACCTAGGGGAGGAATGAGTTTTCTGAGTCCTTGGCTGGCTTGGGGGGCATTGAGAATCCCATTTCATCCCCAACACCAAAAACTCAGAGTCCACAGGGAGAAGTGTCCAAGGTCATTCCCCAGGAAAAGTGGCCCCTGGTCAGTCCCCTCTAGTGCTTGATATGCATGGGCATCCAAGGGGGTCTGCAGCCCATGTCTGGTGCAGGGACAGGGGCTGGAGCAGCCATGGTGGCTGCACCATCCCTATGGTGCCTCCCAGCCTGACACCCACCCCCATGTCTAGAGCCCGTGTTGAAGATGCCCCAAGACCACATCCAGGAGTTCCTGCATGTGCTCCTTCCCCAGTGCCTGGCTCTCTTGACCTGGTGTCCTGTGACTCTGAGCAAGGCTGAGCTCCCCCAGCTCCAGCAGACACAGGAGGGAGCCTGCTGTGCAGACCAGGCAGGCCCTGTCCTGCTGAGTGTGGTCCAAGCTGAGGCTGAGCCTCAGGGCCAGGAAGTGGGGGACAGGGCCAGGGTCAGGAGTTGGAGCAGGAACAAGGGTTGGAGCAGCCATGGTGGCTGCGCCATCCCTAGGGCTCCTCCTAGCCTGATGCCCACCCCCACTTCTAGAGCACCTGCTGAAGATGTCCAGGGACCACATCCATGGGTTCCTGCAGGTGACCCTGAGGCAGGCCTGGGCATTGAGCGAGGATGTGGTCATCAGGCAGTTGCGGGCTTCCATGCGTGAGCTGGGGAAGCTCCAGTGCCTCCTGCCTCCCGAAGGTGAGTTCAGCACACGGGCCCGCCCCATTCTCCCTTGGAGGAGTCAGTAGTGGGAGTGGCAGCCCCACCCAGGGCCTCACCTCTTCCTCATCCTCCTTGTCCTCCCCAGGCTCAGCAGCTCTGCTTTCAAAAGCTCTGACTGCATGGCCTGGCAGGGCCTTGGGCAGCTTCCCTGAATCCTCCTGCGGGGTGGTCCAGCTGGTACTGGATCCCCTTCAGCCATCTGAGGACCCCTGGAAGGCCCAGCTGCCCTGAGCCCAGTTGTGGGGGCCTAGTACACTCCTGTGAGCAGGGTGGGTGCAGAGGCAGGCACTGCAGGCCCCCGTGGCAGAACCCAAGTGCAGCTGAGTGTGGGTTCTGCAGTCCTAGCCTCGGGCCAACACGAGCAGTGCTGGCCTGTGGGCTCTGGTGGGGAGGGTTCCCCGTGCTCGTCCCCTGCTGCTGCTACCATCAAGGGCCTGAGATCCTGGGTCCCCATGAAGAGCAGAGATGGGTCTGTCCCAGCTCTAGAGGCTGGCAGTGGGGGCCTAGGGGCAGGCTGTTCAGGCACTGGGGTGGCCCCACTGTGCTTTCAGGTGCTGCCTCCCCTGGGAGCTCGTGGGACAGAAGCGGTGACAGCCCAGTCTCACCAGGAAAGGGAGAGTGGCCCAGGGGCAGAGGACACAGGGCACCCCTCCCACCTCTTTAGAAACCACATTCCCTGTCCCCGAGGGCCTGAACGAGTCTCCATGTCTCTCCCACAGCCCCAGCGCTCACCCCCATCATCTTAGGCTCAGTTCCTTTCCTACAATTTAGGAGGGACTCAGATGCGTTGTAACTCAGCCAATGCACTGATAGGGCACAGGAGGTCAGGTGGGGTAGGCGACAGGGTCCTGAGTTGGTGCCAGTAGTCCCCACAGATGAGAGAGTGAGTGGGGGGATCGAGGAGTGTGTCCAGCCCATGGAGCCTTGCAGGAAGAACCAGAGGTGTCCTCGGCACTCCCATGGCCCAGGCTGCACGCACCATTCCCTCTGGGGCCCACAGGCTGGAGGTGTCCTGAGCGTCACACCGAGCGATGGGGACCCCAAGGGTCAGGTTGGGGCAGGCACCCTGCAGGCCAGATGGTGGCCACGGAGAAGTCAAACCCATCTGTTCTTCTTCCAGCAAAGCCAATGGAAGATTGCAGCCCGGCCCTGCAGGTGCCGCCTGGCTCTCAGGAGCGCGCTCCCCCACCAGTGTCCCTCAAGTGCAAGACCATTGTTGAGGAGAGCAAAGGCTGCCACCCCACTGCTGCAGCTCCCCAGGAGCCAGTGGGGGCTTCAGCTTCTGTCCCTGAGGAGACCGGTCCTCTCAGATCTACCATCCAGCCTGACTCCAAGCAAGATGCCAAGGAGGAGAAGGGCAGTCGTGGTGAGAGCAGCACCCAGCCCTGCGGCCAGGGCTCCTCCAAGGGGGCCTCAGGTTCAGGGAATGCCGCTCACCTCTCGGGCCCCCAGTGCTCCTGGCTGGCTGAGCCAGGCCCCCTCTGGCGCTGGACTTCCCTGATCAAACTCAACGTGACCTTCAAAGATGACAACCCCGACTCTGATGATGAGGAGTACTCCAGCTGCCTGGAGGAGCAGAAAGAAGATGAAGAGGAGGAAGAAGAGGAGGAAGACCGGGCTGCTGAGTGCCCTGCGTCTCCCTGGCCAAAGCTGCGGCGGGATCTGGCATTCGTCCTGCCCGAGAAGATTTTTGAAGAGGACGAGGAGGGAGGCCATGAAGAGGGCGCCTCCCCGGAGCCCTCATCCCCAGCCCTGTCTGTGAAGTCCTCAGAGTCTCTGCTTGGCCCGGGCCTCCCGGCCCCACAGAGCTTGCAGAGCAGGGGAGACCTGTCCCGATGGGGTGGCCTCCCAAATCTCAGCCCGCCTGTCAATGGCGCTGATTTCTGGCCCCTGGAGCTGGGTGGCCAGTAGGGGCTCAGGGCCCCTCCCCCACCTGCCTTGGAGCCCCTGGATCCCGGGTCCATGCAGGCTGTGCTGGCCCTGGGAGCAGAGCTGAAGACTCCCTCCCTGCATAGGAGTCCCATGCAGTCTGGGGACAGTCACGGGCTGGAGCCTGCAGGAGCCAGCCCTGTGCTGGGAGACCAGGCCTGCGTGCCCTCCCTGGCTGGAGGCCTCCTTGCTGCCCACTCCATGGAGCAGCTGGATGTGTGTGGGTGCCTGGAGGGGAAGAAGAGCCCAGCAGGTGTCCAGCTCAGACGGGCCAGAAGCCTAGCTTCTTTATGCAAGGCGGCCTCCACCACCATGGAGGAGGCTCCTCTCTAGAGCTCCCCTACCCTACCCTGAGCAGCCTCACGCTAGCTCATCTCGGGCCAGAAGCCTAGCTTGTCTATGCCCGGTGGCCTCACCAATTGATAAGGCTCTTCTCTGGAGCTCCTCTCCCCCTTCCTGAGTGGCCTCATCCTGCCTCATATCGGGCCAAGGATCCAGATGTTGGGAGAAGAGACTCCTGGCTCAGAGGCTCCTGGCCTGGAGCCTCCACAGGGAAGGAGTCTGGAACCCTGCCTTGGGCAGAGATAGCATCCCAGTTCTCCAAGGGTTGCAACACTTGTAGCCCCTTCCTCAACCCACATGACCTCTAAAAGGTGACTAGGCCCTGTTCATCAGAAGCCACCTGGGTCATCCCAATGGGGCAGGTTAGGCCATAGCCATTTTTCCCTGGATCTGGGAGGCCCAGGATTCTCTAGGTGTTGTGTCTGGTTTGGAGCTGACCACTCTGTACTGTGTTCTCGAATGAGCCATGGCTGTGTCAGTGACAGGACCCCAAGGGCTCAGAATCACTGGTCCTCACAGGGTGCTTTTTGCAGAATCATGCTGAGGCCAGAAGGTGATGAGATAGACTGTGACAACTGCCTCATCTCTCCAGGCTGGGGAACCACAGCCATGGGCCAGTCCTGTGTCTGCCTCCGTTCCAAGGCTAGTCCTTCTTGTTCCTGGGAACCATAAGATCACGTTTTGGAGTCTTCACCTGCTTCTTCTCCTCATCTGGGGGAAGATGTGAGCTACAGGATGAGCTTGCAGGCAAGGCTGCTACAGGGCAGGCAAAGTGGATGGGAAGGCCCCTGTCCAGGTCAAGCCTGTCCTGTGCTCCCTGCTCTGCCCTGGCTTCCTGGGTGGACCACAGTGTACTCAGCAATGTGCAGGCAGTCCACCTGTCCAGGCGGATGCCCTAAACAGTGTTACTAATGGGAACACACACCTAGAGACTTTCCTGGTGCCTATGGCCTCCAACCATCCTCCCCTGGCCAGCCATATGGAGGGTGACCTGCAGGCATCCATCTCCATTGAAAGCCACCTGCCTTTGGTGACAGTCCTTTGCCCTCTCGTGGAATGGATATTTCGCAAACCTGGTTCCCTTAAGAAGACTTTCTCCATTGTATCACTTTGCTTTCCTGTCAAAGGTCTGATAACTGTATTCATGAAGGTCTCTTCTGGGGTTACCATTCTGACTCTCACCAGTCCCACATTGCCATGATTGGCTGTCTCATAAGTTAGTGAAGCTGTGACACATCAGTCCTCCAGTGTGTTCATCTTCAATTATGGGCGGTGGGATGTTCGGGGTATCTTCATCCCCACACACATTTTAAAATCAGTTTGGTAATTGTAAAACATCTTGATAGGATTTTTTAAAAATATGTATTTATTTCACAGAGTTACACAGAGAAGGAGAGGCAGAGAGAGACAGAGCGAGAGAGAGAGAGAGAGAGGTCTTCCATCTGCTGGTTCACTCCCCAATTGGCCACAACAGCTGGAACTGTGCTGATCTGAAGCCAGGAGCCCTGACCTTCATCTGATTCTCCCATATGGATGGTAGGGGCCCAAGCACTTGGACCATCTTCTACTGCTTTCCCAGGCCATAGTAGAGAGCTAGATTGGAAGTGGAGCAGCCAGGACTCAAACCAGCGCCTGTATGGAATGCCAGCATCCGCTACGTCACAGCGCTGGCCCCGTTGATAGGATTTTGATTGAGACTGTGTTGGTCTATCAAGTGAAGAAATACAGATATCTTGGCTAGATTGAGTCTTCCAATCCATGACCATAGAATGTGTCTCCAAATGTTCTTCCTTGAGACTTTTTTAGGAGCTTCGTGGTGATCCTCATAGAGATCTTGCATATTTTGTTGGAAGTATACCCAGATGTTTCTTTTGGGAGGTAATGTGAATTGTAAGATGTTGTTAATTTCAAATCCATCTAGTTAACTGTGAGTAGCTAGGAAAGCAATTGATTACTGAAGATCAAAGTTTACTGTGCAAATGTTATGACTGATCATTAATTCCTGGAGGCTTATTCTTTGCTGATCCTTTTGGAATTTCTACATAAATAATCAGATCACCTCTGAATAAAGTCTTATGTTTTCATTGCTAAATGCAGTGCCTTGTGTTTCTAGTTCTTGTCTTAACTGCCTTTTCTAGGTCCTCCTGTAGGATGTGGGGATGGAGTGGCAAGGAGGGATGTCCTTGTCCTTTTCCTGGTCCCCCTGTTTCCTGTTTACCCCCATTATGACTGCTGTCAGGTGAGTTTCATTGAAGGCGTTATTTACCAAGTTGAGGGAATTCCTCTGTACTCTATTGTGCTAGAAATTTATTATTATTATTATTTACCTTGGATGGTATTACATTTGTCAACTGATTTTACTGTGTCCTTGCATATGGTCCATGGTCTGGTTATGCATCCCCTTCTGTCTGTTGAGATGTGGGATCGCCTCGATGCCTTTTGGATTGCTTAACCAGTCTTACATGTTTTGGATGAATCCCTCTTGGCTGAGAGGTGCCATTCTTTCCATCCTTTGTTGGATTTGACTCCAGCTGCCTGGCTTCTTTCTCAGACCTTCCAGAGCAGATCACTCATGTTGATTGGGAGCTCTTGGAAGCCTCTTGATTTTGGGATTCAGAAAGAGAGGAAGCTCTTCCACCCACTGGTTCATTCACTTGATGGCTGCAGTGGCCAGGGCTGGGCTAGGCCGAAGCCAGGAGCCAGGAGCTTCATCTGGGTATCCCACAGAGCTATCTTCCACTGCTTATCCTGATTCAGATCCTGCACTGGAAGTAGAGCAGCCAGGATATGAACCAAAACAGTGCCCACCACAATGTCAGCCCCAGAAACTCTTAGTTTTTTAAAACAAATATCACTGTGTATATTTAGGGTATAGAGTGCTTTGAGACTCATAAAGGCTTTATATATGTGGTATAACATGCATAGTAGCTACAGGTACCTTGGGGAGGCGTGTTAACACAGTTTGTCACAGTGATCCACTTATGGATATGTATGACCAGAACAGCTGGGATTGAGGCATTCAGCAAAAATCCCAAATGTGCTACAATATAACCACAGCCCACATGTTGTACTTGACATCTCCAGACTTGGTCATCCTACCTTGTACCCTTTGACGTACGCCTCATTTCTCACCTGCCCCCATTCATCCTTAGTGACCACTATTTTACTCATGACATCTGTAGATTTGACTTCCTGTTCTTTCAGACTTCCTGTATAAGTGAGATCATGCAGTAGTTTTCTTCTTGCATCTGTGTTATTTCACCTAACACAATATTCCTTGGCTTCATCCACTTTGTGACAAATGGCAGGATCTTCTGTTTTAGAAAGGCTGAGTGATATCCCTATGGCTATTTATAACACCTATGGCTATTTCCTTACCTATTGATTCTACAGCTTTGCTATTGTGAATACCACTGCAGTAAATATTGGAGTGCAGATATCTTTGAGGGAGTGAGTTCATGTCCTCAGGGTATAGATCCAGGAGACTGAATGGCTGGGTCATATGGTATTTCTGTTTTTAGTTTCTTTAGGAACTTCCCTGTTCCTCTGGGGCAGCTAGAGGAAGTGGGGAAAAGATAGTACTTGCTAGGTTTGAAAATAAAACCCTTTGTCCAGGCAGCAAAATACCCTCAAGGTGAGAAATGACCTTAATGGAAAGCTCTAATGAGTGATGGTAACACCTTTTGTTGAAGAGCTAAGGGCTACTGCTATGATGCAGTAGGCTTCCCATATGGGTACCGGTTTGAGTCCTGGCTGCTATTTTTCTGATCCAGCTCCCTGTTAATGCACTTGAGAAAGCAAAGGAAGATGACCCAAGTGCATGGATCCCTGCACTCACGTGGGAGATCTGGAAAAAACTCCTCGTTCCTGGTTTCACATTGGCCCAGCTCTGGCCATCGAGGCCATTTGGGGAGTGAATCGGTGGATGGAAGAAGACCTTTCTCTGTCTCTTCCTCTCTGTGTCTCTAACTCTGCCTCTCAAATAAATACAAATGCTGTTTTAAAAAGTTAAAAAAAAGACAAGGTGGTGTTTAGTGATCTTGTAAGACTTCCCAAAGAACACCCAATAATTGTAACAGTGCTGTGTCCCCTAACATGCCAATGGGAATCGAAGGCTCTTTCAAAAACTACTGTGAGGCGCTGTGGTGTAGAAGGTTAAGCTGCTGCTTGTAGTGCCAGCATCCCATATGGGTGCTGGTTCAAGTCCTGGCTGCTCCACTTCTGATCCAGCTCTCTGCTATAGCCTGGGAAAGCAGTGGGAGATGGCCCAAGTCCTTGGGCCCCTGCACCCATGTGGGAGACCTGAAAGAAGCTCCTGGCTCCTGGTTTTGGATCAGCACAGCTCCGGCCATTGCAGCCAACTGGGGAGTGAACCATCAGATGGAAGACCTCTCTCTCTGCCTCTCCGCTTTCTGCGTAACTCTGATTTTTGAATAAATAAATAAACCTTAAAAAAACAAACTATGAGTGTGGTTTTTTTAGATGTAGTTGTTATATATTAATGTTAGCCATCACAAAACACACCAAACACCAGAGTAAGGGAAAGAATTTATTGGGGGAAACCAGCAGACTGGAGGGAAGGGGTGAAGAGGGAAAAGGGAGAGGTGAGTATAAGAGAGAGAGAGAGACAAAGGAGAGGAGACAGTGAGGAGAGAAGATAGAGCAGAGAGAAGAGCCAAGAGAGTCAAGAGAGAGCCATGTGTTCAGGAACAGGTCCTTTTAAAACTTTGCCGGAGGGCGGGCAGGGAAGCAGGAGCAGCGAATCCCATTAGGTTGGGGGTGGAGCTTGGCACAGGTAGTTTGGGCCATGTGGCCACCTGGCTTCCAGCAATGGTGGCGGGAACCAGGGTATCGAATGTAAATCAAGGTGTAGATCACACCACAGATAAGACTGCGCCAGTTTCCTAACATTAGTGAATTCATGTCGTGTACCTAGGTAACACACGGAGTTGTTAAAATAGTTACACTCAAGAAAGTCCTGACAGTTCGAACTAAAGGGCATTGTGCTTGCTCAAATTTCAAAATAAAGGTCTCTTAATTCTCAACTTCCTGTAGCTAGTTAGAAGACTGAAAATCTATTAACTGCAAGAAGGGTCCATACAGCTGAGGAAAATGTCCATCTTCTGTAATATGTTAGAGAAAGAACTCTCAGATGAGAGTCAGGAATGGGTCACAGCAGAGTCATGGGATGAAAGGGAGGGTGTGGGATGACCTGTGGCAGCAGAGTGGGGTCCTCCCCATTACTACTTCTCCTTCAGAGCTGCATGTCCGCTCTGCCCTCCTCAACCTGCTCTTGGTTCACCAGGGTTTGGATCGGAGACCACTGGCTGTGATCATGGTTCTCCAGAACATGCAGCTGACACCCAGACACTTCTTCACCACCGCAGGCCTGGAGTTGCTAGAATCTGCAGCCAGGACCCCCTGGCCCTCACTCACTACCGTGTTCCCGTCCTTTCACCCATTTCCCCAGAGCAGTGAGCTCAGAGGCTGCTGCCTGAATGAAAACTTAATAACCTGCGAAAGGAAAATGGGTCAACATTTCAAAAATTGCATTGCCGATTTTTCAATTCTTGTTTTGTATCTGCCAAAGTATTTTTAAAGTTAATATATGAGTTCATTCACTTTATATACTTTCAAATAGAGTTCTAGAGCTTCACTGAGAACACATTCTCTTTGATTGTGAATCAAGAACTTCTCCACTGGGGGCCGGGGCTGTGGCACAGTAGGCTGTCTCCACCTATGGTGCAGGCGCCCTGTACCAGTGCCGGGTCACTCATCCCAGCTGCTCCTCTTCTGATCCAGCTCTCTGCTATGGCCTGGAAAATCACTGGAAGATGGCCCAAGTCCTTGGGCCCCTGTATCCATGTGAGAGACCCCAAAGAAGCTCCTGGCTCCTGGTTTAGGATTGGCTCAGCTCCGGCCAGTTGGGGAGTGAACCAGCAGATGGAAGACCTTTTTCTCTGTCTCTCCCTCTCTCTGTCTGAAACTAATCCTCTCAAATAAATAAAATATATATAAAAAAAACTTCAGGCCAGCACTGCGGCTCACCAGGCTAATCCTCCGCCTTGCGGCACCGGCACACCGGGTTCTAATCCCGGTCGGGGTGCCGGATTCTGTCCCGGTTGCCCCTCTTCCAGGCCAGCCCTCTGCTGTGGCCAGGGAGTAGAGTGGAAGATGGTCCAAGTGCTTGGGCCCTGCACCCCATGGGAGACCAGGATGAGTACCTGGCTTCTGCCATTGGATCAGCGCGGTGCGCCGGCCACAGCACACTGGCCGCGGCGGCCACTGGAGGGTGAACCAACGGCAAAAGGAAGACCTTTCTCTCTGTCTCTCTCTCTCACTGTCCACTCTGCCTGTCAAAAAATAAAAAATAAATAAAAACTTCTCCACTGAAGACTCCCTCTGAAAACCATTTTCCAGGAACATGAATAGCATCATATGTATATATATATATATATATGCATATATAAATATATTTTGTTCTAAAGTATTTACTTATTTGAAAGGCAGAATGACAGAGGGATACACACATACACACAGAGAGAGAGAGACAAAGACAGAGACAGAGAGGGAGAGAGAGGTCTTTCTTTCACTGGCTTACTTTCCAATTGCCCACAACAGCCCATTCTAGTGTTGTGGAGTGCACAGATTAAAAACACAGCAAGACTTTTGGGTAGAATTAGGAGTCTTTATTAGCCAGCTGGAGACTGCCCTCTCACAGAGCTAGTCCAGAGAAGACAGCAGCGAGTTGCAGTGGTGGGGAGTTTTTAAAGGAAAAAATCTACTTTTTATCAGACATTTGATTATGCGCTTGAGCTTGTGCAAGAAAAAAGCAGGCATACAGAAGAGAGAAGCAGCTAGCCAATCAGCCAGGTTTTTGTAACCTTATTGAAAAATATAATGATTCAATTATTCAGTTGTTCCTGGTCGGGGTCAAGCATGGCATCACTGATCTTGGTGCCACCTGTGTTATCTTGCGGCTGCAGCCAGGAGTAGAGAGGAGAAACCACAGTCTAGTGGCCTTGGCCATTATCAAGCAAGCAGAGGTACAGAAGCTAGAAATGGGCCAGTTACAAATTAACATTTATTTGTATGAAGAATAGGCCTTGTTTTAAAATAACCAAGCAAGGGGCTGGCACCATGGCCCACTTGGTTAATCCTCTGCCTGCAGTGCCAGCATCCCATATGGGCACCAGGTTCTAGTCCCAGTTGCTCATCTTCCAGTCCAGCTCTCTGCTGTGGCCTGGGAGGGCAGTGGAGGATGGCCCAAGTGCTTGGGCCCTGCACCCCCATGGGAGACCAGGAGGAAGCACCTGGCTCCTGGCTTCAGATTGGCACAGTGTGCAGCTGTGGCAGCCATTTGGTGGGTGAACCAATGGAAGGAAGACCTTTCTCTCTGTCTCTCTCTTTCTAAGTCTGCCTGTCAAATTAAAAAAAAAAAAAACCTTTAAAATAAACAAGCAAAATAACCTATTGTCTATAACCATCCGGGTGTGCTATCCTTTGTAGACAAGTTAAACTTTGAGTCCCTTGTCACACTAGGCCAAGAAAGCTACTAGGGTCACCCACATCGGAGGCAGGGGCCCAAGTATCTAGGCCATCATCTGCTGCTTTCACAGGTGCATTAGCAGGAAGCTGGATCAGGAGTGGAGCACCTGGAACTCGAACAAGCACTCCAGTAATGGATGCCAGCATTGCAAATGGTGGCTTAGCGTGCTATACCACAGTGCCAGCCCCGGAAGTCTTATTTAAATATGAGCTAGGGAAGTTGATTGTACTAATCACCCATGCAGATTCTGGAAGATCTTGTTTGTTTTAGAAAATTTCAATCATATTTCAATCAGATTTCACGCTTCCTTAATATGTATTAAATCCATGACTTCTGCTTGCTTTCCTAAATGGTTTAATCCCACTTCTCCATGATTAAGAACGTGTGGTAGCAAGTTTACCTGCCAAAACAAAACAACGAAACAAAAATCATTTCTCAAATGCCTTGAATTGAAAACATAAATCCACTTACTCTGTTCTACCTCTGTTTATTTTGAGAGAATTATTCTCTCTGTGGGCTAATTAGAAACGTGACTGGGGGCCGGCGCCGCGGCTCACTAGGCTAATCCTCCGCCTAGCGGCACCGGCACACCGGGTTCTAGTCCCGGTCGGGGCGCCGGATTCTGTCCCGGTTGCCCCTCTTCCAGGCCAGCCCTCTGCTGTGGCCAGGGAGTGCAGTGGAGGATGGCCCAGGTGCTTGGGCCCTGCACCCCATGGGAGACCAGGAAAAGCACCTGGCTCCTGGCTCCTGCCATCGGATCAGCGCGGTGCGCCGGCCGCAGCGCGCCGGCCGCGGCGGCCATTGGAGGGTGAACCAACGGCAAAGGAAGACCTTTCTCTCTGTCTCTCTCTCCCACTGTCCACTCTGCCTGTCAAAAAAAAAAGAAAAAAAAAAAAAAGAAAAAAAAAAAAGAAAAAAAAAAAAAGAAACGTGATTGGGTTTGTTGCTGCGATCTGTGCTTGCCCTGGGCCATACTCTCACTGATTTCACTGAGTACTTAACTTTAACAAGAGTGGAGAAGACAGCAATGCTTACTTTCCACTCCGGTCTCAGTCTCTCTCCTGCAGTCCATGGTTTACATGAAATGGTGGAGTGAGTACTCAGGTGGGTGTTATTTTGTGGGCTCAATTACCTCCAGTGTTTCTTGTTTGAAAACCTCTGTCAAGTTCACACAATTAAGTGCATAATTAAGATGCGAGAAAGGCTCATGGAATCTTTCTTTCCTGACCCAGAAGCATGAAAAGACCATGCAGGCGTCTTGTCTTCTTTTATCATACCCCAAACTGCTCTTTGGTGATATTCTACATAGCTCAATAACTCCCCTGCCCACCTCCCCAGCAATCTCTTAGCATTGGGAATTAGCACTGTCTTGGGTTCTTTGTCTTCCAGTGATCCTTTCTAACCTTTAAGGACTTTATCCCAAAAACTTCTGTAAGCCCTAAAGTCTTTCCAATAAAGGGAAAATGAATTGCTGTCAAAATGGGTGGTAGTTGTTCTGAGTACCTTGTCAAATCTACATTTTTTTGGAAAAGCAG